GTTGCAGAGCACAGGCTCCAGACGCGCAGGCTCAGCGGCCATGGCTCACGGGCCCAGCCGCTCCGCGGCATGTGGGATCTTCCCGGACCCGCGCACAAACCCGCGTCCGCTGCAGCGGCAGGCAGACTCTCAACCACTGCGCCACCAGGGAAGCCCTATCACCCAGTTTTATGTCACCATTATTATTATTCCAGAGAAAATTATGAGATAGAAGGAATAGTAATGCCCTGAATTGCAATTATTTTTCTAGATTCTGATTTTTCGACTGACCACTTTGATGTGACCACATAATAGAATTTGTGAGGAAGAAATACAGTGGATTCTTACAGTTGCACGGTACTGCTTGAGTTTTACTAGATCTACCCGAGGGGATTATTTCCCAGAAGCACCAGAAACACCTTGCTATAGCCCAATGTGGGACCTCAGAATTTTAGGATAAGAGTCATGGAAGAATTTCTTTCAAAACACATTTCTATTGCTAATGATGCAGAGTACGTCTGCTGAAAGATTTGGATCCAGTATATTGCTGTTAATTTGCCTTTTGTTTGTCCTCCACTGATAAATAATCTGTCCCCATGTTTTAAACTGCATTTAGAGGGTTTACCTACATCTTTTATGGCAAATATTTCTCAGTTCATTGAAAAAAAAATAAAACCATTGTATCACATGAGAAGGAGAAAATATTTTCTTTCCCCCTTTCATTAAAAAAAAACCAACCCCAAACATAACAATGAATAATGAAAGGAAAACAAACGAAGCCATTCCATTCCATGGAGGAGGGGCAGAGTAGCTGCAGGGGACAGCTGCAGCGCGTCTGGCGTCTCAATTCTTTCCTTTCTCATCACTTTATTACTTACTGGACCAAGAATGTAGACAATTTCAGCTACGGTTGTTATGCATTTTAGTTTTTCAACTTAATTCTGTGTGGTGCTCATTTGCCTTCTGCACTGAGTCCTAAGCCCACAGGGTCACTTCAGTGTGTTGCATGGAACAACACAAACAGGGGTCTCTTAGTCCTCTCCCAGCTCCACCCCTTCCCACGAGGCCCTTGAAATTTGGAAGGACTCACTGTCTTAGTCAGCCTGGGCTGCTATAGCACACTACCATAGACTGGATGGCTTAAACAACAGACATTTCTCACAGTTCTGGAGGCTGGAAGTCCAAGATCAAGGTGTCAGAAGATTCAGTGTCTGGTGGAAGCCCACTTCCTAGTTTGTAAACGGTCCCCTTCTTGCTGTATACTATCACGGTGGAGAGAGACAGAGCACACTGGTCTCTTCATTTTCTTATAAGGGCACTAACCCCTTCATGGGGGCTCTACCCTCATGATCTCATCCAAATCTAATTACCACCATCACAGTGGGGGTTAGTGCTTCAATGTAGATTTTGGGGGTGACACAAATATTCAGTCTGTAGCACTCACACCATGCTTTTGTGAGTGTTTGTCAAAATCATCAAACCCTTCATGCCTCTTTCAAGCATTAGACCTCTGGTTTTAGTTGGGTACCAGTTGACTGCATGCTCATACACTGTCACTGTGTTACCTTCAGTAAGATGCAATCAACTGTTTATGTCCCCTCCTAAATCCATATGTCGAAATCCTAATCCCCACTGTGATGGTATTTGGAAGTAAGTCATTTGGGAGGTAATTAAGTTTAGATGAGGTCATAAGTGTGGGGTCCCCATGATGAGATTAGTGTCTGTAAAATATAGGAGACAGAGAGATTGCTCCTCTCTCTAGGAGCAAGCCCAGGAAAGGCCTTGAGAGCACACAGTGAGCAGGCAGCCATCCAGAAGCCAGGAAGATAGGCCTCACCAAAAATCTTCCATGGTGGCACTTTGATCTTGGACTTCCAGTCTCTGGAACTGTGAGAAATAAATGTGTGTTGGTTGAGCCACCCAGTCTACGGCATTTTTTAATAGCAGCTTGAGCTGACTGGGACACAAGATGACTTCAATTCTACTAAACTGAAAATGCACAGGAAGGAAGAAATAATGAATGTGGTGATTCCTAAAGGGGTGCTTGATTCATTTTTGAAAACATGTTTTTAAACTTGCACAAACAAACCCTTACGAGGGAATATTTTTCATCATAATATTGACTGTTACATATAGATCTGAAAAAATTGATTTTGTTTTACAGTACAACCACAATTTTCCCCAAATCCTCCTTCAAACCATTGCTTTTTTCTTTTTTACAAATTTTCATAGCTCTTGAGTTTCCTGCTATGTACTATATTTACATAAAGAATTTTATTTTTCAGGCAGACACTTAAAAGTGGGCAGGTTTTAAAAACATTTTCAGTGTTCTGTTTATATGAAAAAAGTGTGAAACAGCAGCATATTTCACAGTGTTTATTAATAGTTTTAAATAAAAATTTAAAAATATTACTTATCTCTTTCAGCACTGTAGGGAATCTAACAACATAACTACACAGAGGTTCATTAAAAGTAGAATCACTATGTAGAATTCTGTATCCCAGCAAACGATCCACCTTTCTTTCTAAGAAAGTTATGTGTTTTCTAGAATTTTGATAAACAATGCATTTATTTCACTGCTAGAAATTGTGCCTAATGTAGCTGAGATTTCTGCATGGTAACAAAGGTTTGTTCTGGCTTCATGAGCTCCTTTTGGTCTTGGGGCAACAGTGGTATATTTATTAATACAGGACATCATATCCCATTATGTCAGCCATTCATCCTCGCTAACGAAACGTGATCTGCCTCCCCTATGGATTAAGTGGTGTCAAGTCATCCAAGAATGTTCACCAAAGACATGCTTATTAAATTTATCTAGAACTCTCACCCAAACTACTGCTGCATTTTCTGCAAATGGGAAAACTGAGATTCTGTCCTGAATTGATATTTAGTGCATTGTGTGCTAGGAAGAGAATTTTCATCAGGATCTCTTGGGGGCATGTGTTAAAAACGCATGTTTCCTGCCTCCAACCCCAGAATTTCTGACATAGTGGGAATGCACCTGGAAGGGATGCAGAAATCTAGTTTCACAAAAACCCTGGGCGCTTCGGATGTCATTGATTCCCTTTGAGGAACGTGTTGTAGTTGTATTGGTTCCCATACGTAGCTCAGAAACCACACAGCAAGAAACTGTTCTGAGCAAGACGGGCGAAGGCAAAACCCTGAAGTCACAGAGCTTTGCTCTGCTTTCAATTAATTTTCTCTCTCTCCAGGCACTTTAGGTGGTCTCACTGTTGGGTTTCCATGGTAAGGTGCTGTCGGCTTACCAAGCTCGGCGTATATTTTTTTCATTCTTTTCTCCCTATTCTCCACCCTACGTTAAACCACAATGTTGTGAGGGTCATGCTTAAAATGACAGCCAGATGTCTGATTAGCTATGCATGCTAAGGGGTTATGACTGTCAACTTTTAATGTGTGGTTCTCCTATGCATATGTTCCTTAGTAAATAGTCTAGAAAGTTAGGACATTTGCCACAAGGGAGGATTCTCAAATACTAAACTTCTACATGCCCTGGCAGTACAGCGGGGGCAGTGATTTTGGTCTGCTTGCCTTGTTTCTCGGCAAGTTCCATGTAAAATCAACTCCGTTCCTAAGAATGTACAGGATTTCCTTTGCAGATTTATGAAGAAGTTGAAGAGGACAAGACTGACCACAAAAAGCATTGAGAGTGCCAAATTCTTGTCTTCCAGCTTTACTGGTTGGTGCTGATAGGATGAAACTGGAAAAAAATTGGCTAACATAACCCAAATTCACTTGACCCTGATATAGTCCTAACTTGAATCATAAAGCCAGTATAAGAGTTTGCAGTGAGAAATACCTCTTTTCAGAGGGAGGTTGTTCAACCCACAGAGGAGGGACCCAGTATCAACTGTAGGAATTTGGAATCAGAAATCACTTGTGCTGTTTTCCCAGTGACCCCGCTCTAACCCTCCTGGAGGCCAGAGCCTTGCATCTTAATGGTCTGGCAGAGGAGCAGAGGATGCAAGGAGGGGGATGAGGGAGCCCAGGACAAATCTGGCCTGATGAAGAGAAATAGCTCTGGGTTCTGAATCTGGTCCTACTAGTCATTAAGCTGTGTGACCTTGGGCAAGTTATACAAACTCTTTAGCCTCTGTTTACTATCTGTGAAATGGGAAGTACATCGACACATACTAAATATTCAGTTCATAATTCTATTATTATCATATTAAAATTATTATCAGCCCTTTCGGAAAAAGTTAGAAAGCTAAATCTGATGTTGATGTATTATATATCAGCCTCTTAGCTGGAGTAGAAAGAGTGGGAGAATTTTGGTTATACAAGATACAGGGGTAAAAAAGAGAGACAGATTAAGTATTAATGTACCAAACTTTCCATTTTAGCATTTAGGATGGAACAGGAACTGGCTCCCCCTTTCTGGAAACTTACATTTATATGTGTCCATTCCGGATAAGTCTTGCAGAAAGTGTGATGAACGCTGTCAGGGACACACAGAGCATGGCAAAGCTCAGGCACAGGTCTAAGGCTTGAAGTGTCAGGTGGTACTCTTCGTAGTGTGGTGGGTCTACACAAACTGATGGGAATTTTGCATACGGAAAAGGAAAGGCAACTGCATAACCAAGGTAATTGGTCCCTGCAATCCCCCAAAATGAGTAGAAGCAATACGGGCCAAGGAGAGCAGATGCCAAGGCTACAGTAAAATGAAGTGGACATCCCAGGATGCTCAGAATCACAAAGGTGAAACTAGCTTCCCACTGAAAATAAAGTAGAAACAAATTGTTACTTGGGGAGCTAGATTTTTCAGAAGCTTCTTAGCAATATGTGGAAAGAAAGAGATGCTGGCTATTAATCTTTCCTACTGGGAAATGAAGGAGAAGTGGGTTACAACCGTCTCTTTAGGCCCTTTTGCCTTCCTCTTGAACTTTCACTATGGGAGAATAACGTATCAACCCACTGGAGCAAAAATGAAATCAATTCCACTCAACACATTTATTTACTTACCTCCTATCATGTGTTGAGAACCAGTCCGGGTGGGAAAACAAAGATGAGTGAACAGAACCCCTGCCTTACCCTAGGACCTTGTTATTCAGAGTGTGGTCTATGGTCCAGGAGCACTAAATATCCCCTGGGAACTTATTAGAGATGTAGAATCTCAGGCTTCACTCAGATCTACTGAATCAAAATCTTCATTTTAACCAGATCCCCAGGTGATTCACACATATATTAAAGTTTGAGAAGCCCTGCTGTAGCCATGGGAAGAGGAGCTATAATCAAATCAAGGTAGTCTTTCTGTACCTTGGGATTTACTTGGCTCTACACTGTTGAAATGCAAGATATCACAGACTTTTCATTCTTTTTTTTTTGCAGTACGCAGGCCTCTCACTGCTGTGGCCTCTCCCATTGAGGAGCACAGGCTCTGGACACGCAGGCTCAGCGGCCATGGCTCAGGGGCCCAGCCGCTCCGCGGCATGTGGGATCTTCCCAGATCGGGGCACGAAACCGTGTCCCCTGTATCGGCAGGCGAACTCTCAACCACTGCGCCACCAGGGAAGCCCCTTTTCATCCTTTTTTTAGGGGAAGAGGTAACAGGGAGATTGGAAGGAAATACCAAATTGAGGAATTGAGACTTGAAAATACATGATTAAAAACAGAGGATCCTATAGATCCACTTTTTCAGAATGAAATTCAGGAAGACTAACACTGATTCTGTCCTCCCCAAACTACACTACTTAAATACAATAATCACAGGAACTGGTAGAAAATGTTTGGAGCAGGTATCAGATAAAAATTATGCATTTAAAACAACGTTTATGACTGAAATCCATCATAGTAAGGCATCTATTAGATAGGATTCAATTATAATCAGAACTCATTCTCTGTGTTCCATCCTGAACTAGTAGAGATTTGACCTTCAAACTTTCTCTGCCAACCTACTCGATGTCTATACATTTACCAGGTGTCTCTCGGTCCACTCTTTGTGAGCCAACAGTAGGAGTATACCAGTCATGATGGCCTGTGAAAGGAAAATGGAAAAACAACATCCCGTGAGAGAAGGTACCTCTGGAAAGAGTTCAGTTTGCTTCACGGTTTGACAACTTTATCATAAACCAGAAGGAATAGCAAATGGCTAAATGGATTTATGGCTCTGATCACCTCCTCATCCGTGATGACAATGAGGAAAAGAAGTCATCAGTGTCACAGAGACATGATTCACACAAGCTCATTTTTTTGATTTTCTATGTTGCCGTTGCCATCACAATTATAACCTTTACTACTGTTAAGATGTCACTGCAATGAAAGCTTGGCTTTAAAACCCTTGCCGTATGTTTTATTTTGATTAATTGTCTATTGTTCATCTTTTTCCAAATTGCTAAATTTACAAATGGGAGGAACTGAAAAGGAAACGTGTCACAGAACCGCACCCACCCTCAAACCCTCCCAGCAGCGGTATATCTTTTACTCTTTGCTTTTTTTGAGATTCTGTGGCCTCAGCCTGCCGGTGATCCCTGTCTCTCAAATAACAAAGATTATCATTAGAATGAATGCATGATGGGGCATTTATTGTTCTGGGGGCAGTGGTGTCCAGCTTTTCAAAAGAGAGTTCTTCATAGTCTCCGTTGAAGAAAAAGCCCCCAAATGCAGAATGAAAATAGTTCCACAAAGGAGGGAATGGTGTCACCAGAACTGAGCAATAGATAATGAAAAAAAAATTCTGGGCTCATCTTCGCTTCGGCACCGGGTCTGATAGAGACCTATGTAATCAGTGTCTGGAAATTGCTTATTCCCAGCCCATAAATCATTTGTTCCTGGTCAAGGAATGTTTTGAGGTTGGGAGAGAAAACCAGGAAGAGATGTGCCTGAAGTAAGATATAGAATGAGGACAGGTTTAAAAAGAGTTACAATTTAGGGTTTTGACAGAGAAATAAACATGACTGTATGTATAGTATCAACAGGGGAAAAAAATCGGAGCTTTTACCAATATGGTTTTGTGGGATGTTGCTTTTTGTAGCTCCAGGTCTGGCATATTTATTGTTTTGAGACCTAGCTTTTCATTTTCCTGGCATATTCTATTTTGAATATTGGATTTAGAGAATCTGAGAGCGAGGGGAGAAAAGCACGCACATGTACACTCACACAAAACTCATGTAGCTAAGCCTGACGTTCCAGACTTTGGCATCGCCATACCATAAAACTCCCATGGATAAAAACAGAAGCATCTGCAATCGAAAGAGGTTGGCTTGATTCTGCAAGAGGAAAGTTTCCAAGGGACCCTATGGAGGTTGAGCCAGCATAAACAGTACAACAAAACAGGAGAATTATTAACAGCAACTGTAGCACTGATGCTAAGCCTGGGGCTAGTCTCTGCTCTCAGAGGCAAAGCGCTCAATTGACACGTCACTCCTCTGTGTGAGAGAAACACTAAAGCAAACGAGATAAAAAGCAAAGGAGATGTCTCTGCTGGTTGAAGTCCAAGTAGATAGCTGACATTATCAGATGCTTAGAGTCCAGGTTGCCTTAACTGCTTTGGCACAAACTGTTTCTTTCCTTTCAAAAGCTGAAAAATCCTGCAGAATTGCAGTTGCCTGTTTTTTCTGTTGTAGCTGCCAGCTTCAATTTTGCTTTGTTTACACAAAACTTTGAAAAAGATCTTTCATGGGGGAAGCTGGTGTATGCATGCCGTTCAGTAACTTGTTAAATCCACCCTGAGGACTGTGGCTCAGGAGCCAAGCACACCCATCTTTCCTGGTGCCCGGCCGTGCGTGGGAGGTGCAGTGCGGGTATTCCCCTAAGAGTCACAGGCTTTCCTTTTTCTTCTTTTCATTGTTTTAAAAAATTTATTTTTAGACAGGGAAGGGGAATAGAATAAAAAAGGAAGAGATTTGGGACTTGTCTGGTGGTCCAGTGGTTAAGGCTCTGCGCTTCCAGTGCAGGGGGCATGGGTTTGATCCCTGGTCGGGGAACTAAGATCCCACATGCTGTGCCACGCAGCCAAAAGATGTTTAAAAAAAGGAAGAGATCTGAGGGAAGAGAAGTCAAGTGGGAAAAGGAAATGTGGGAGGGTCTGAGAGGTGAAGAGTTGGGTAGAGAGGGGCGGTCAGGTTGTGAGGAAGGGCGGAAAGGAGGCCATGCCTGGGGAGGGTGGGAGTGCAGCTGGAGGCCCAGCCCTGCCCTCTCCACCCTCAGCTCTTCTTGACAGGCTGTGGACTTGCTCTGTGGGGACAGTTCCAAGGACATTACTTGGGTTTTGCAAAAGTTGCTGCTAACATTCTGCATGCTAATTGTGACCCCTCCCACTAAATCTTTAAATGGCCCCAGTAAGGATGCAGTTCCCAGAAGCAGATGAATTGAAGGAAGCAGAGAGCTTCACAACAGAAATAGAAACTTTTAGAGAAATCATTATAACATGGGCTAATTTATTCACTTATGGACATCTATTTTGGGTCTACTGGGAACAAGGGATGTGATAGGCACGATGCAGATGGAATAATGATAATAACGTTTAACATTTATTGAGCACTTATTCTATGCTGGGCACTCTACCAAATGCTTTACATGTGTTAATTCATTTAATCTTCATAATGAATGACCCTAGGATGTAGATCGTCTCCTATTTTTAAAATGAGGCACAGAGAAGCCGAATAAGGTAAGCAAGCTCACCAAGCAATAATTATACAAATAATGGCTCCAACTCTCAACGGAATCTATAGTCCAGGTGTGAAAGGACTGAAGGCACTGTGGGGGAAATATGACTCAAAGCAGGTTTGAAGGATGGATGTGACGTCAGTGAGAGATGCAGAGGGAAGGGCAGTCTGGGCAGCCATGGGAGAGTTGGTTCCTGGCAGAGAGGAGTAGGAAATCAGGCTTGAAAGCCACGTGAGGTCAGGGTGTGGAGGGCCTCAAAATCCAGGCTAATATATCTGAACTTGGTTTGGACAATGAAGCAACACTAAAGATTTTTGAAGACGGGGCTAGACTGGTACAGCAGAGGTTTAGAAAGATGGGCCTGTTATTGCATGCTTGCTGCATTGGCCTAGAGGTCTCTGTAGGACCTTGGTCTTCAAGCTTTTTTTTTTTTTAACCTTTACCCATAGTAAGAAATATATTTTGTAACACGGCCAAGTTACAAATATTTTTACATCTAACCAAAATAACAATAACTTTATTATGTGTGATACACTGTAGAATTCTCTATTATATTCCATTCCATTCTGTCCCATCCTATTCTGTTCTATTCTATTCATATTCTATATGTTTAAATGCTAGCTACCCAACAGGTTGATTTTATAACCCATTAATGTATAGATCCCCACAGGTTGGTTCTAAAAGTTTCAAGGCATAAAACCTGAGTGGGGCAGGAAGTGGTAAGGAGGTGGGCAGGGGTTGCATAGTGAGAACGAAGAAGAAAAAATGCATAGGGATTTGCCTCATAGGAAAAATAAAAGTTGGCAATGGATTGGATGTGGTGGGGCGGGAGTGGGGCTGAAATGGGCTGGTTTGGGGCATTGCTGCCCTAAGGACCAGTAGTATCTCCTCCCTTGGGAACCTGTCAGACATGGCCTGCATTTTAAGATCTCCAGGTGATTTACATGCACATTTCAGTTTGAGAAACACTAGTTTAGAGGAAAGGATTGAGTCAAAAGTCACTCCAGGGTTTGAAATTGGGTTCAAAGACTGGGAAGTCAGGAGAAGGCATAATTGCTTTTGGTGGTAAGATGATTGCATTTCTGGATCAGTTAAGCTTCAAGAAGCTTAGGATATCTAAGTGGAAAATGGACCATCAGCTGATTGGAAATCGCAGGACTGTTGATGCTATAAGAGGCTTGAGCATTGGTGCAATCAAGTCCCTTCTCTGATGAACGAGGAAACTGGAGCTTGCATGGGTGAGTCCAGGCCCTACCTTTCTCCGAAGTTCCTGTCTCCAAGCAGGGTTCTGGGTGCAGCGCTGCTGCTCACCGTTGGCCAAGTCCCTGGACCCTACAGACTTTAGGTCCTGTTTTTAAACTCAGTTCACTTCAGTCTGTTCATCAGAGCTTGATCTACAGGCCAGGTTTTCCAGGATTAAAGTAGAGCTCAGTCCTTAAGGCTCAATGATCTCCTTGCTACATACTTTCTAGCAGTTGATGACTTTCAATAACCTGGTTCAGATTTCTAGGAAAACAGCTTATCACGTGTCTGTAAGAATTGAGCTAGGAGAGTCTGCGGAGGAATATTTGTGAAGAATTTAGAAAAAGCTTTGAAAGAAAGGCACCGGACAAACACAAAGTATGGGTCACTTCTAAAATCTCTCTCTTCCGATCTCAAAAGAGATACGGAGTCATTTTCAAAAGGAAATATGTTTGAAATGTACATATTATCTTTCTACCAGAGGAAGATACACTTTGCAGGCAAGTTGAGAAGTGATTGGCAGGGAAGGTTGTGGGATGGGTCAGAGACCTTTGAAGTTGACCCTAATCAGACAGAGCTGTGGTTCACTACCAAACTCACTAGGAAAAAAATCATGTTGTTCCAAATTTAGACGTTATTGAAAGAGGGAACAATCTTATTGCTTTCCTTCTGGTGAGGATTTTTTCCTGCTTTAGTGTAAATACCAGCTTGACCTTTATTCTTTGCCACCTAATTAGAGCTCAACTGTATAAGGAATTCTGTACTGTCAGAATGGAGAGCATGGCATTCACCACTCATTCGACAATATGTATCAAGCAATATTTAGCACGAATACCTAGCATGTCACTTACTCCCTTTCAAGTGCTGGAGATATAGCAATGAACAAAATAGAAAAAAAGAAATCCTGCCTTTGTACAATCTACATTTGGGGGGGAAAGGACAAACAAACAGATAATAAGTCAGTCAATTATGTTGTATATTAGATGGTGTTATGGGGGGAAAAGTAGAGTAGGGGATGAGAGATTGGGAATGCCATTTGCGGGGGAGGTCTGCAATTTTAAATAGGGTAATGAGGGAAGGCATCAGTGACAAAGTGACATTTGATCCAAGAATTGAAGAAAGTTAGGGAACAAGCTGTATGTGAGAAAAGGCTTCAGGCAGAGAACTGGCAGTGCAAAGGCCCTGAGACAGAGACATACCTGGCCGTGTTTGAAAACAAGGAGCCAGTGTGATGGGAAAGAAAAGAGCTAAGGGAAGAGTGGTTGGAGATGAGGTCAGGATGTAACATGATACGGAACTCAGCAGGTCGTCAGGGAACAGAATGGGAGAGTGAGGCAGGTGGCAAGGGATTAGGAACAAAGGGTTTGGACAGAGAGTACGGCATAAATGAAAGGCATCGCATTAACTAGCATTTGTGTAGGGCTTTAAAATTGGCAAAGCTCTTTATTATGCAGTCTCTGAGCAAATTGTGTTCATTCTCTTTGAGCCTCTTATGGTTAGACAGTTTCACGTGGGCTCTCTATACCTGTGAAATTCCCCATTCTACAGGTAAAGGCAATGAGGAATTGGTTGAATGAGGGCCCTGCTCTTGACTACATACCAAGAATGTTAAAGTCAGGATTTGAACAGAGGCTCACCTCTCCAAATCGTAACTCTCTGACTCTACTTCCCCATGCTGTCACTCAAATCAAAAAGCCACCAATTAGCTGTGTGCTAGAGATTTGTCACGTCACTTCTCTGGGTCTGATTGGTCAAGCAGATGTTCGGTGTAGAATAAGCATATGCTCAGTAATCTGTGAACCTAATCAAATCACCAGTATCTGTTGACCATATTATGATAGACCCTGCAGGGATAGGCAAAGAATTATAAGAAAGGGACACAGGATTGAGCTATAACCATGGTTTTGTTAAAGTTTGGGCCAGTTGTAAAGTCAGAACTTTTACAAAGTTAACTAGAATAGAAAATATCAGAATTCACTTCCCATAGAAGGTTAAGTATTGTTTTGTGAAACATATGTTATATAAATCTAGTTACATGTATATTTCAGTATCTCTCTTTTTACCTTGAGAAAAATATATAGATGTATTTATGTACATTCCAGGTCCTGATGTAAAATATTTTTCTTACTCTGGGTCACTAACAAAAAGTTTGGTAGTCATTTATATAAATGCCATCACTGCATTCTAGTAGATGTTTAATAAACATTTCCTTGAATGTGTGGTTTGGGGTAGTTGTTGGGGGAAAGAGGAAAGGTTCAAGACTTGGGTGGTGGTGTAAAAGAAAACATAAATAAAAAAAAGAAAAATACCATCAAATCGTTTCCGTGTTCAGTTCCATGCTCCCACCATCCCGCTTTCCTCCATCTGCACACCATCATTAAACCCCACTAGACCAAATTCCTTTAATATCGAGATCTTGTTTTATTCTCCATTGTAACTCAAGCATGTAGTAGGCTACCAATACATATTTATTTATTAAGTAAATTAAAATTATATTTCCTAGGGTCTTGCTTTTAGATGACATCTCTGTTAAGTTCGATTTTTTTAAAAACGTAAAATATTGCCCCTCCTGAGAGTGGCTACATTTTAAGAGAAAACTCCATACGATCAAAAAGCTTCAAAATCAAATTGTCTAGTCTCCAATAGTGAATGTCAGGCATCCCAGGAAACAACGAGAGAAGGATTTGTTGGATGTTTGGGCCTTTGTAACCCCTCTTCGATCATGCCTCCATGGCAGCCACCTACTCCCAAGACTACACGTGTTGGTTTCTTTGACCCAGGGAGCTGAGGTACCAGTGTCATCATTCACCTGTGGTGACCATTCAACGGGCAGACATTGAGCAGTTACTTAGTACCCACGTGTATTTGACACATGCAAATTTGGCAACATGTGAAGTTAGTAAAGCCCATCACAACTTCTTCAATTATTTTCAGTTTAAGCAGTTGTGTTCAAAGAAAAAGATGGGAGAACTAAGATTTGGGGCTTGTAAACCTTTCAGTCACATAAACACACCTTGGTGTTTCTAATAAAAGCATTAGTCTGACAATTATTTTACTTTTTTCTTCATTTAAAAATTATTTTTCATGGTTCATATTTTTTTCTACATTCAAATTTCGAAAAATAGATTCCGAGTTCTCAGAATGTCCAGGTAAAGAAGATTAAAATAAAATAATTTTTGAAGAATTTCTCGAACAGCATTTTCACTATAGTATACCTAATATGTTGTAGATATGATTAAATGATATTAAGAAAACCTTATATTTAAAAGATAACTAATAGAAATCAATGTTCTAAGGTAAAATCTGATTTTCTGTAGAATTTTGATGTCTTCATATTGTTGGAAAACTTTAAAGGGACATGTTATTCTGGTCCCTCCTTCCCTCCCTCTTTCCTTTATTCTTTCAACATATGTAATAAAAATATTTTCTTACCAAAGCTCCATTCCAGATGGGACAAGCAATCCAGACACTCCATCCTGTGAACCAAAGCTTGTAGGAAAAGACTGGGAAGAAAGCAATAACTCCAGAGAATACACTGAGAGCCCCCAGAGTAATGAGAATCCAGCCAGCAGTCTTGTATAAGCCTTGCATTTTCCTCTGTGACTTGGGTCCTAGGTCTCAAAGATGTTTTGTTACCAAAACATGAGAGTATGTCAAGCCTCAGTAAACAAAAGTTTCTTAGAGACAGTAGCCATGACACATGTGGACTGTTGATCTACTTGGAAACAAGATTATATTTGTTTTCAGTGAAATAATAATAAAATGTAGTGATATAATCCTTGACATAAATTTGACATAATAAATTATAATACTAGTTTTTCTCAGAGAGAGAAATCATTCCTCGTGTTGGGCTACCGCCTTCATTCCCTTCATTCTGCTCTGTCTTGGGGAGTGACCACTTCCTGGCTTAATCAGATTCAAAGCCTTGCTGACTGAGCTAATTGTTTCTCAACTCAACCTGCCTGGTGGTTCCAGCCTAAAGCCAACATCCTTTGTGCACAATAGACCTACATTCCCAGCACAATTTCCCACAAAACAAAGTAAAAATAAGCACTCTGATCACTTTTCATTACATTTAATTTCAATGATTTAAAGCAAAAACAAGACCTCTCCCCCGCTTCAAAGTTCAATTCTACTACAATTATTTTTAAATTTTTGATACAGATTTATCCCCAAATAGGCACAAGCTTCATTATGGACTTCTGCATTGTTTTCACTAAACCAGCTTCAGCTCAGTTAATTTATTATTAATTCAATTATCGAGTAAAGGGCAAACATGGAAATGTATGCAGTTGTAAAATAAACTTTGAGGAATAATTCATTAGTTGACTAAAATACTGATCTCCATTCTAGAATTGTAATTCAAAATTTAGATGGTGGGCTCATGTACACTGAAGCAATCGCAAAAGTTCATCTCTTAGTTTCTCACGCATTTGAGAAAGCGGTGTGTATTTGCTTTTGACTCAGAGGACATGTTTGACTGTCCTTCCAAGATAACATCTGGAAAACACAGACAACTTTCTGAAGCGATCTGATTAAATTTCTATGCAATATTAACACCTTTTTTTCCCCTTAAATAAAATTAAGAAAAATAATTTTATGGATGGAAAGGTAGTGGTTTAGAACATGGATTTTGGAGTCAGACACAGCTAGGATCCTGTTCTGGTTCCCCTCTCTACCAGGTATGTGTCCTTGGGCACAGGCAAGTTGCTTAGCTTTTCTAGGGCTGTTTTTTCATATGGGAGATGGGAATAAAGTTAGTGTTTATGTCACCAGGTGGTGATTGTTAGCATTAAATGAGCCAATACGTGTAAAAATCCTTAGCGCTGGGCTCCGAATAGCAAAGATGCTTGGGGAGCTACCTGTTATTTCGTTGGGACATTGCATCTTTGGAGTTCTTTCAGTATGGGACAAAGGCACAGTCTTCACTGTTTCTCTTATCTGTCGTCTTATAGACATTAGGTTTGGTAAAAGCTGGTAAAAGCTCCCAAAGGACCCTCCCATGTACGGTGAGGAGTGAAGCTTCTCTCTGACTCTCCGCCATTTTCTCTCTGTCTTACTGTCTTTAATCACCTTTCCACAGTGTGACCCAGATTTTGAAGAAGCTGCATTCCTGGATATACAGAATTCAGGAAACCAGCTCAGGCTTCTGCTATAGTTGTTATTTTCCATCTCCTCTTAACATTGTGGGAGTGTAGTCTCTGATATTTTTTTTCCCCCAATGCCACTAGGTAAGTTCCACAAGAGCAGAGGGCTTGTACGTCTTATAAATCCCCTTGATGTATGACATGTCCAACACCTAGAAACACGTCTAGCCCAAAGTAGATACTTAGGACACACTTGTCAAATTAATTAACGAATACATTCAACTTCCCAGCTTTGCATTTGGGGCCCCATGGGTTAGCCATCTGGATCTGTGCGTGGGCACCACGGTCAGTGTGTACTAATGTCAGTGTGTTCCCTTGTTACAGAGGCAAGCCTTCTGGACTGAAGAAAGACGTGTTTGTGTTAGTATTTGGTTTGAGCTGTTTTGACTTTTTCCTTTACTTTTTATCTCAAGGTTATAGCTACATGGTATGTCAATATACTGCGGGTCAGATCACTCTCTCCCGTTTGCATGTTTGGAAAATAAAGACTGTTGAAATACTCATGTTAAACAGTACAAAGATGTCAAACAAAGGGAATATGTTTTGTTTTAATCTGGGGGGGATCTTTTGGTGTTTGTGACACTGTAGCACTAACCCTGACTCTGTCACTGTGACCTGTAAACCTGAATTTATTAGTGATTAGGAAAGTCGTCGCCACTTATTATAACAAAAGAAGGGAAAGAGGGAGAACTAGGGATTTCTCTGTGTGTTTTCCCTGCTGTAGGAAATCTTTCCACACTGATTTCATTAACGCAAGAAGACTTTCAGGAAGGGCAGCTACCGGCAAAGAAGAGAAAATGTAATTCTGCCCCTGGCCCGGGCTTGCTCTCAGCTCGGCCACATCTCCTGTTCCCAGTGTCTGGCAGCCAGGGAGGCTCACAGGGTCCCTGCCCCTCCAGGGCCCCTCCCTCCCATTTGGCACTAACTTACTGGAAGGCCAGTCTGTAATCCCTGGTGGAGGTGGTGTTTGTCAAGGTCTTTGCAGGCTGCTTTGCAGATCCTTCCTTCCCCCTCACCATCTTGGCACAGGGAAGAATGGTAGAAGTTCTACCAAACTCTTCAATCCAGCTTTGCCACTGGAAAAAACCCCCAAAAGTCCCCAACAAACTGACATTTTGATTCCAACACTCACCCACCCACCCCCTGCAAAAAAAGAAAGAAAAGGAAATGTAACCTGGACCCCCAGATAGATGGGATAACGTCAGTGATGCTGAGAGGGAGAAGCTGATTTGGACATTCTCCACCTCTCTAGATATACTCCTTCACACGTGAGCCCTAGAAATAACAGCTCTGTGTGTGCTCAAGTCTTAGGGTTTTTTTTAAGTAAGTTTCAAAGCCACAGAAGGGGTTCCATTTTGCCAAGATAAAAGAAAATGGAGCTCTAAACAAGAGATTGAAAGAAAATGCTTTATTTCCCCAGGAGCTTCAAGTGACTACCTTCATTTGTTTACACATTAGAGAGGTAGCTCCTCTAGCAGAAAGAGCATGGGCTTTGGCATCAGAGAGACCTGGGTTCCAGCCTCTTACACTGTTAGTGGGAATGTAAACTGGTGCAGCCACTTTGGAAAACAGCATGGAGGTTCCTCAAAAAACTAAAAATAGAGTTGCCATATGATCCAGCAATCCCACTCCTGGACATATACCCAGGCAAAGCTATAATTTGAAAAGATACATGCACCCCTATGTTCATAGCAGCACTATTTACAATAGCCAAGACTCGGAAACAACCTAAGTGTCCATCGACAGAGGAATGGATAAAGAAGATGTGGTGCATATATACAATGAAATATTACTCAGCTATAAAAAAAAAGAATAAAATAATGCCATTTGCAGCAACATAGATGGACCTAGAGATTATCATACTAAGCGAAGTAAGCCAGACAGAGAAAGACAAATGCCATATGACATCACTTATATGTGGAATCTAAGATACAACACAAATGAACATATGGATGAAACAGAAACAGACACACAGACATAGAGAACAGACTTGTGGTTGCCAAGGGGGAGAGGAGGTGGGGGAGGGATGGATTGGGAGTTTGGGATTAGCAGATGCAAACTATTATATATAGGATGGATAAACAACAAGGTCCTACTGTACAGCACAGGGAACTATATTCAATATCCTGTGATAAACCATATGGAAAAGAATATCTATCTATCTATCTATCTATCTATCTATCTATCTATCTATCATCTATCTGAATCACTTTGCTGTACAGCAGAAGTTAACACAACATTGTAAATCAACTATATTTCAATAAAAAAAAACAAAGACCTGGGTTCTGTACTGAGGATTCCATCTGATATATACAAAAAGGAATGAAAAAATTAGAAAATTAATACCCTGCTAACCTCAGTGCAGCAACTGACTCAAGCACAATGGATACCTTTACAACGGAAAATATCTTAACCAGGATAAAGGTTAAGTCACCATCTTAACCAAGTGATCAAACTTTAAATCACCAACAACAGGGCAAACCGACGTCACTGCCTCCTGATATGATGCATTGTCTCCTGATATGACACCATTACCTGCGTAGCACTTCTGGTAAAAATGTATAGCTTGAATCTAATCACAAAGTTACAGTCAAACTCAGATTACTGGGACATTTTACAAAGCACTAGCCTGGACTCTTCAAAACTGTCCATGTCATGAAAGATAATAAAAAAGTTACTGGGACAATTGGGGAAATATAAACCTGGAGTTTCTATTAGATAACACTAGTGCATCAACGTTAAGTGTCTTGGGAGTATGAATGGCATTACAGTTACATAAGAGAATGTCCAATTGCTGACTAGGTACGTTAGTGTTCTTTATGCTTTCTTCCAGCCTTTCTGTAGGTTCGAAAATTTCAAATTAAAAGGTGGGAGAACAAAAGGGAAAAAAGAAAAGATCTATGGCTTTAGTAATGTGCAAAAAATGAAAGGCCTAACTTTTACTCAGACATCCAGCCACGCGGCTCAGTAATCCTTGAGAATATTGACGAATGTAGATCACAGTGTAAGGAATGCCCCTTCAACACCAAGACGAACCTGTCTTCCTAGCATAGGAACGATGTGTTTGATTATACCGTGAAGACACAGGACTCATGCAGACACACTAATGGGTATCTTTCATATACTTTTTTGTCTTTCCAAATATTCCAGGTTCTTAACTGGATTAAAAACATTTCCAGTGCTCATTCATAATGCACACTTCCCTCTGCTTTCGACTAGCTGTTCGGCTTCAACTTTGAGTGAACCCTCCCTTCTCATAATGGCTTGGGGTTTAAGGAGAGCAAAGTTCAATTTTTATCATCCCTAACTGGGAATTGTCAAATTTAAAGGCTTTCAATCTGCAAGATGTTTGGATCTAAATAGAGATTTGTGCCTCAACGTGTACTTACCTAATTCAGATTTTATCTGCCTTTTTGTATATCTGACCCTCAGATGTGTTTTGAA